TTCCGCCAAAACTAATGAGAGTCATGGAAGTGCTGGAGCGCTAACGATTGGGGGTGAAGCTCACCTTAGGTTCGTTGCTGCCACAGAAAAGAAGGTCGCTGTGATGGAGCAAATATCTATCTTCTTGCAGAATCCCGCTAGCTACGAATCACAGGAATATTTTACTATGCAGCGAAAAACCATCCTCGCCAACATGAGGAAGACACTTGCTGTTTCACAAGAGCGCCAGCAGTTACAACAAAGCGAAGAGCTAAAAACACCTGAGCGTTCGTTCATGGCACCGCACGTGGCAGGACTACATAATGGCGAGGGTGAAGAAAGTGAAGTTGCTGACAATCAAATCAGTACTTTAATTTAGCTGGGCTTCTGCACGTAGTCTAGCTTAAAAACCTACTACACAGGATCCAGAGAAAGGTTTTGCTAGCCGAGATCACCGTAGCACTGCCATACGTGTTCGATCAAATCCGTTTTTAATTCATAGTGAAGCTCTTCGTCTTCAAGCACTTGCATCGCGTTTGCTATCATTGCGACTGGGCACTCATCCGGTACACCAACTTCTGCCGGGCTGACCCATTCATCTTCAAACAGGTACTGATGATTTAGCGAGGTAATTCGCTGCTCGTCTTCCACAATCATGTTATGGAGGATGATGCATGCTAGCATTACATCATTCATTGCATCGACACTCCATAGTTTACAGGGCAGGGCAAGAATTCGAAAGCGTTGTTGTAATACTCCAAATGTGCGTTCAATATCTTTGCGAGCGGCTTCCTGCTGGGCAGCGTAACATCTACGCTTGTTGCCTTGGGGCGCACTGATACTGGATTGGAAAATTGCCCAGGCAGGATAAATTCCATCTGTAAGATAGTATCCCTGATTGTACGTCGCACCATTCACAGTGAAGGAAATCCTGGGAGCAACACCGTTTACCAGGTCATTCAACAAAGGTGAACGCTCGAGTACATTCAAATCATTGTTAGCGCCAGGCATGCCATAGAATGCATGCCAAATCCATAACGACTAAGAAGCCACGGCTTCCAAGATCACCGTCGAACACTTCTCTTTTCCCTGAAAAGCTCCTTGCCATGCCGTTGGACAATTCTTCCATGTCCAGTGCATACAGTCCAAGCTACCAATCATACCCGGAAATCCGCGCTCAGCATTCTCGGCAAGAAGTATTTTCAAGTCATCCTTGGTCGGCTTTCGAAGATACTCTGGACCAAATAATCGGATAATATTTTTGCAGAACAGCTTTAAGGTCTCCAACACTGTGGACTCAGCCATACGAATCAACTCATCTAATTGATCTGCTGATGCTCCATATGCCAACATCCGTAAAGCACACGTCACCTTCTGCTCTGGTAGGAAACCAGCCCGTCCAGTTGCATCACTACGCTGGACGAGTAGCTGCACTCTTCATCCTCAACCAGGGCAATGGTATGAGCTCAAGAGGTTAGAGACATACAAATGGCTGGCGGAGTACTCGGCTTCGAAGCGATTAAACCGTGGAAACCTATATGGGAAACATTTTTAAGAGGAGAAGCGTGTGCTTTTTACTTCAAGTGGTGTTCGCCCAGAGTAGTTCACTACATTAGGGCGTTTCACCCCCACATTTTTTCGATCCCGCTCCTTATTTTGTTTGCTCTCATGCCTTTGGTGGACCCGCCGTGTCTGCCCCGCACTGCGCTCTTGTTGTTCACTTCGCCCTCAGGCAACATGTAGGTGAAATAGTACTCTTCTTCCGAGTCGTCGTCCATACTTGACGTCGCCAGCAGCGCTTCACTCCTTCGTGTATTTCTGATAGTGCGGTATCTAGAGAGATCTTTTGTATCGTCGTTTGATTGGACAAAAAAATGTTAAGCCGCGGTGAGTTCCAAACCGCTGTAGACAAGATGCAATCAGGCGTTCTATCCTAAAAATTGAGGTCTCATCCGTCTCAATAGGACTTGCAAATAAGTCTAACCGCTGGAGATGCTCTTAAAAACAACTCGTTCATATTTCTAACCTAGCATTCTAGAATAAAGTAATCGCAGAGATCTTTCCAAAAACCAATTTTTTTTTTAGAATTGAAAAGTGTTCAAAAATATCCCACATTTGTGACGTCACTAAAGCGCGAATGCACGACTAATTTCGAAGCACGACTAATTAGAGTGAACGGTGTAAACATCCAACAGTTTGCTGGAAATATATCGCCTTAGACGGGGTACCACGATAATCAGTTTAGCTTCATGGTCACTGCTCAAACGCTTTTACTAGGGTATGGAGTTTAAGCAGTCTGTTATCGTATTGGTAAGGTGATTGATTTTGCGAGCGGAGGTATTATTAATAGTTTGAGGAAGGGAAGTATTCATTTTAGGCACTTGGCGGTTCAAACTGATCAGTTCCGAGCTCTCGACCAATCCAAAAATGCAGCGACATGACGTGAAGTCTCCCAGCTTAAAAAAAACTGTGACCCTCTCTTGTTTGCGGACAACATTCGTAATTGTCCCATTCACGTTGCCTCGGAAATCGATGACAACATATTCTTTAGCTGCAAGCGCAGCATATTTCCCACCCGTCGCGAATCGG